GAAGTGAATCTGGCAAAAATGATGGTTTGAGGCATGACCGGACTGAGTTCAACCCCCAAAACCCCATTTGTGGTGAATACACACACACATAGTAGTGACCAGTGATTAGGTGTTGCCAGGAGCTGTAAATCGACCCCTGCAACCACAAATAGGTAAGTACACACATAGTTAAATTCACGTATCTCAACAATTACCAAAGGTTTCAATCCAGACTGATCCTGGAAGTGCAGAAAATTATCTACATAGACAAAAGGAACCTTGACATCACATCAGCGGAAGAGAGGGAAATCAAGGAAGAGACATTACGATATACATGATGCTTTGAGAACTGAAAGGGAAAATAGCAACTTTAAAGCATAGCAAGAAGCTGAACACCCAGTAAAAAAGTGAAATGAGCTGGATCAGGTGGAGACAAATTTCATACGCAGTGTCAGCAGCTGGTATGACAGGGGGCTAACTAATTAAACTAGGGAGCAAGAGAGTAGGAGCCAGCAGCTTCAATCATGCTATTATATTTATTGGGGAAGCTTTAAATCCAAGGTAACCAAGTTTGATCCTAGGAAAGGGAAGGTAGCTCCAGTTTCTTGAATCAAGACCCCTTCACCAGCATTTAACACTTCTTATAAGGTATCAGTCGGCTCAAGATTGAGACGGGGCCAAGAGCTGAGATTCGGCCTCCCTTAAAAGGGTTCGTTAATGAGGCTGGTGAAGGCTCTTGATTCAAGGAGTCAGAGCCGCTCTCCCCTTCTCTGTATCTCCTCATTGTTCCAGTTCCCCGGCACTATATGACACACCAGGTTCATAGTGAAAATTATGCGTAACGAGGATGTATATATACTCAATATTTTCACATTTTTCTGTGTATATATATATTTTCTTAATAAAGTTATTTATCTTAAAAGTTTATTAATTCAACCTAACAAAAACATTGTAATTAATTATCAATCATTCACGAAGATTATTAGTGAAGAGGGGGGGGGGGGAGTGAGACTCACCTGGGTCACAACCCTTCAGCATCAAGGTAACACTTCCCTTCTGAAGGGTGTAGCGAGAACCTTTCAGCATCAAGGTAACACTTCCCTTCTTGAAGGGTGGAGTAGTGAGAACCCTTTGTCATCAAGGTAACACTCCCCTTCTTGAAGGGTGGAGTAGTGAGAACCTTTCAGCATCAAGGTAACACTTCCCTTCTTGAAGGGAGGAGTAGTGAGAACTTTTCAGTATCATGGTAACACTCCCCCTCTTGAAGGGTGGAGTAGTGAGAACCTTTCAGCATCAAGGTAACACTCCCCTTCTTGAAGGGTGGAGTAGTGAGAACCTTTCAGCGTCAAGGTAACACTTCCCTTCTTGAAGGGTGGAGTAGTGAGAACCTTTCAGTATCAAGGTAACACTCCCCTTCTTGAAGGGTGGGGTAGTGAGAACCTTTCAGCATCAAGGTAACACTCCCCTTCTTGAAGGGTGGAGAGTGAGAACCTTTCAGCATCAAGGTAACACTTCTCTTCTTGAAGGGTGTAGTGAAAGCCCATCAACATCAAGGTACACCTTCCCTCCCTGAAGGACAGAGCGTGAGATAATCTCAGCCAACACACTGCTGGTAATATAGGGAAAGAATCGCAGTCCTGTGAAATGCCTTTGTGAACCATGATTAAACTACGCATGTTTTCTTGGTACCTTAAACGCCAGATGTTCCCATCGTGTTACAGTCTGTGTTCTTCCAAATCTCTGAAGTACCATCCACTGTGCACTTGGTATATCATCATCATTGAAAAAAAAGACACAAACACACACTAGGATGCATTAGAAAAAAATTTCATACTGAGACACTGATCACCTCTGACGAACGTTTTTAAACGAATATATCCTAGTGCTTATTAACGTGTATTTCAACCATTGTGAATATCCATACCACGGTTTATGTCAGCTCAGCATCATTATCATTACTGTGCTTGCTGAGCAAAGGCATTGAAGAGGTTTCGATCAAGATGGTCACTGCATCATCACTGGAAGAGCTACAGTCAACACCTTGACCACTACACCAGAATCTTGCAAGGAAAAACAACAAACAGATAAAGGTATCTTTCTCTTCTTATATCAGATGTTGCTATACAGATACACATTTTTTTTATGGTGACAACGTTTTGCTGTGTAGAGCTTTGTCAATTTCATGTTCTCTGACTAGAGCTTTATCAGTTTCATGATCTCTGACTAGAGCTTTATCAAGTCAGCTGTTACAGTGTATAACTTCATCAAGTCTTGTGTTGGTCTGTGTAGAGCTTCACTGATTCATGCTTTGCTCTGTGAAGCTTCATCGATTCATACTTCACTCTGTGTAGAGCTTCGCCATTCTGTGGCGAAACGTAGTTTCAATAAAGAAAAAAAATTAGTTCTTGTGGGAAACAGACCATTACATCCATCTGCTCTACTACCAGAGATAGCTGGGAAGGAAGGAGGGTACGAAGGAAGGAAGGAGGGTAGGAAGGAAGAAAGGAAGGAAGGAGGGAAGGAAGGAAAGGAGGGTAGGAAGGAAGGAGAGAGGGAGGGAGGGTGAGTGGGAGGAGCAGGAAACAGAAGCGTTCCGAGACAGTATTAGAGGTACTAACGCTAAGGATGGTGTCTCCTAGTACATAATATTAGTATAGTACGTTTTACATTTTAGTTGGTGTGACTCGCTGAAGTCTGTTGATTCAGTTTGTGTGTGTTTGATTACCTGTTCGTAGTTGCAGCAGCAGAGGTATGTTGGTGGTGTACCGTCTTCAATGTTTGTAGTTACAACAACTGTTGGTGGTGTACTGTCTTCAATGTTTGTAGTTACAACAACTGTTGGTGGTGTACTGTCTTCAATGTTTGTAGTTACAACTGTTGGTGGTGTACCGTCTTCAATGTTTGTAGTTACAACAACTGTTGGTGGTGTACTGTCTTCAATGTTTGTAGTTACAACAACTGTTGGTGGTGTACTGTCTTCAATGTTTGTAGTTACAACTGTTGGTGGTGTACCGTCTTCAATGTTTGTAGTTACAACAACTGTTGGTGGTGTACCGTCTTCAATGTTTGTAGTTACAACAACTATTGGTGTACTGTCTTCAATGTTTGTAGTTACAACAACTGTTGGTGGTGTACCGTCTTCAATGTTTGTAGTTACAACAACTGTTGGTGTACTGTCTTCAATGTTTGTAGTTACAACAACTGTTGGTGGTGTACCGTCTTCATTGTTTGTAGTTACAACAACTGTTGGTGGCGTACCGTCTTCAATGTTTGTAGTTACAACAACTGTTGGTGGTGTACCGTCTTCATTGTTTGTAGTTACAACAACTGTTGGTGGTGTACCGTCTTCATTGTTTGTAGTTACAACAACTGTTGGTGTACCGTCTTCAATGTTTGTAGTTACAACAACTGTTGGTGGTGTACCGTCTTCAATGTTTGTAGTTACAACAACTGTTGGTGTACTGTCTTCAGTGTTTGTAGTTACAACAACTGTTGGTGGTGTACCGTCTTCAATGTTTGTAGTTACAACAACTGTTGGTGTACTGTCATTCAGTGTTGTAGTTACAAAAACTGTTGGTGGTGTACCGTCTTCAATGTCTGTAGTTACAACAACTGTTGGTGGTGTACCGTCTTCAATGTCTGTAGTTACAACAACTGTTGGTGGTGTACCGTCTTCATTGTTTGTAGTTACAACAACTGTTGGTGGTGTACCGTCTTCATTGTTTGTAGTTACAACAACTGTTGGTGGTGTACCGTCTTCAATGTCTGTAGTTACAACAACTGTTGGTGGTGTACCGTCTTCGATGTTTGTAGTTACAACAACTGTTCGTGGTGTACCGTCTTCATTGTTTGTAGTTACAACAACTGTTGGTGGTGTACCGTCTTCATTGTTTGTAGTTACAACAACTGTTGGTGGTGTACCGTCTTCATTGTTTGTAGTTACAACAACTGTTGGTGGTGTACCGTCTTCAATGTTTGTAGTTACAACAACTGTTGGTGTACTGTCTTCAGTGTTTGTAGTTACAACAACTGTTGGTGGTGTACCGTCTTCAATGTTTGTAGTTACAACAACTGTTGGTGGCGTACCGTCTTCAATGTCTGTAGTTACAACAACTGTTGTTGGTGTACCGTCTTCAATGTTTATAGTTACAACAACTGTTGGTGGTGTACCGTCTTCAATGTTTATAGTTACAACAAATGTTGGTGGCGTACCGTCTTCATTGTTTGTAGTTACAACAACTGTTGGTGTACTGTCTTCAATGTTTGTAGTTACAACAACTGTTGGTGGTGTACCGTCTTCAATGTTTGTAGTTACAACAACTGTTGGTGGTGTACCGTCTTCAATGTTTGTAGTTACAACAACTGTTGGTGTACCGTCTTCAATGTTTGTAGTTACAACAACTGTTGGTGTACCGTCTTCAATGTTGTATTTTAAAACAACTGTTGGTGGTTTTACCGTCTTCAATGTTTGTAGTTACAACATCTGTTGGTGTACTGTCTTCAGTGTTTGTAGTTACAACAACTGTTGGTGGTGTACCGTCTTCAATGTTTGTAGTTACAACAACTGTTGGTGGTGTACCGTCTTCAATGTTTGTAGTTACAACAACTGTTGGTGGTGTACTGTCTTCTTGTTTGTAGTTAAAACCCAACTGTTGGTGTACTGTCTTCAATGTTTGTAGTTACAACAACTGTTGGTGGTGTACCGTCTTCAATGTTTGTAGTTACAACAACTGTTGGTGGTGTACTGTCTTCATTGTTTGTAGTTACAACAACTGTTGGTGGTGTACTGTCTTCAATGTTTGTAGTTACAACAACTGTTGGTGTACTGTCTTCATTGTTTGTAGTTACAACAACTGTTGGTGGTGTACTGTCTTCAATGTTTGTAGTTACAACAACTGTTGGTGTACTGTCTTCATTGTTTGTAGTTACAACAACTGTTGGTGTACTGTCTTCATTGTTTGTAGTTACAACAACTGTTGGTGTACTGTCTTCATTGTTTGTAGTTACAACAACTGTTTGTGGTGTACCGTCTTCAATGTTTGTAGTTACAACAACTGTTGGTGGTGTACCGTCTTCAAAGTTTGTAGTTACAACAACTGTTGGTGTACCGTCTTCAATGTTTGTAGTTACAAACAACTGTTGGTGTACCGCTTCATTTTTGTATTACAACAACTTTTTGGGGTGTCCCGTTTTCAAGTTTGTATTACAACAACTTTGGGTCCCCGTTTTCAATTTTTTGTATTTTACAAAAAAGTTGGGGGGTTACCGTCTTTCAAATTTTGTAGTTACAACAAGTTGGGGTGTCCGTTTTCAATGTTTTAGTTACAAAACTTTGGTGGTGTCCGTCTTCAAGTTTGTAGTTACAACAACTGTTGGTGTACCGTCTTAAATGTTTGTGTTCAACAATTTTTGGTGGTGTCCCCGTCTTCAATGTTTGTAGTTACAACAACGTTGGGGGTCCCGTCTTAAATGTTTGTAGTTACAAAACTGTTTGTACCGCTTAAAATGTTTGTATTTTAAAACAACTGTTGGTGGTGTCCCGTCTCAATTTTTTGTAGTTACAAAAACTTTTGGGTGTACTGCTTCAAGTTTGTAGTTACAACAACTGTTGGGTACGTTCATGGTTGTAGTTACAAAAAAATTTTTGGTGGGTCCCGTTTTCAATGTCGTATTACAAGAATAGGTGGTGTCCCGCATTAATGTTTGTAGTTTACAACAGAACTATGCATAGTATCCCTGGAGTTTACGGGAAAGAGAGTTTCGGGGGTCAACGCCCCCAGCGGCCCGGTCTGTGTCCAGGCCTCCTGGTGGATCAGCGTCCTGATCAACCAGGCTGTTGCTGTGGCTGCACGCAATGACCATCTGTACGAGCCACGCCCGGCTGATCGGAACTGCCTTTAGGTGCTTGTCCAGTGACACCGCTGAAGCACGCATGGTGTCTGTTGGTAATCCCCCTTGTGTGATGGGAGGCAGTTGACAGTTCGGTCCCCTGACAATTCTTGTATGGTCTCTTAACGTGCTAGTGGACACCCCTGCTTTTCATTGGGAGTTTTTAGGGGGATGGTGGCATGTCTGCCAGTTCTTTTGCACCACTTTCGTAGTGAGTGATTTTCGTGTGCAAGTTTCGGTACTTGTCCCTCTAGGATTTTCCAGGTGTATTATAATCATGATCCTCTCCCTTCCTGGTTCCAGGGAATACAGGTTTAGAAACCTCAAGCGCGCTCCCAGTAATTGAGGTGTTTTATCTCGTTATGCGCGCCTGTGAAAGTTCTCGGTACATTTTCTAGGTCGGCAATTTCACCTGCTTTGACAGGTGCTGTTAGAGTTGCAGCATATTCCAGCCTAGATAGAACAAGTGAACCTGAAAATGTTGTCATCAGGCGGCTTGGCCTCCCTAGTTTGAGGTTCCATATCCATCTGTCATCTTTCTAGCAGATGCGATTGATACAAATGTTATGGTCCTGAATGGGAGAGAATCTCCGTCATAATCACTCCCGGTCTTTGACCCGTTGGTGTTTCGCTCTATTTTGTGGCCAGAATTTGTTTTGCACTCTGTTGAAGATTTAATTCCTCATGTTTACCATATCTGGTTTTGAAATTTCTCATCGTTTTGAACTTCATATTGTTTTCTGCAGCTCCCACTGATAAGATTTGGTTGATGTCCGCCTGGAGCTTGGCAGTGTCTGCTATGGTAGACTAATGTCATGCAGATTCGAGGTGGCATCTTGCAAAAGGAAACACGGTGCTTGCTGTGTGCTGACATTCCTTGTCTATGTCGGATATGAGCGATGATGGGGGGGGGTAACAAGATGGGAGCTAGTACTGTGCCTTGTGGAACAGAGCTTTTCATCCGTATGCTTGCTCGGACTTTATCTCTGGTGACGACTTCTCTCTGTGTTTCTGTTAGTGAGGAAATTATAGATCATTCGACCAATTTTCATGTTTTATTCCTTTAGCGCGCATTTTTGTGCGCCTATTACGCCATGGTGCACACGTGTCGAAGGCATTTTGCAATGTCATGTATATATACATCTGCATTTCTTTTTGTCTTCTAGTGCATTTAGGAACCCTTGTCGTTGTGACTCCAGTAGTTGAGACAGACAGGAGGGACCTGTTCTAAAATAACCATGTTGCCCTGGGTTTGTGTAATGATGGGTTTCTAGATGGTCTGGTGATCTTGCTTCTTAGGACCTTTCATAGATTTTTATGATATGGGATGTTACAGTGCATATTGGTCTGTAGTTCTTTGCTGTTGCTTTACTGCCCCCTGTGTGGTGGCAGTGGGGCTATGTCTGTTGTTTTTAGTAAACTGAGGGACGACCCCCGTCGTCCATGGCCCCTCCCTCTCCATAGGATGGATAGGCTCGTGATAGGGGCTTCTTGCAGTTGCTGATGAACACATGAATAAGTTTTCCATGAGTTTATGGCCCTGGGGCAGATGTGCATGGGCATGTCAATTTATCGCCTGTTCGAAGTCAATTTGGCCGTCCAGGTTAACTTCGGATTAGGCTTGTTGTTAATTCAAATTTTTGTGGCTCTCTCATAAAAAATTTCATTTTGATCTTCGACTTCTCTGTCTGGTTAGCGGCTTGGCCTAAAAAAACTGAGTCTTATGGGACTTGAGTTAGCTCACTCATTTCCTTGCTGTCATCTGGGTAGGAACCCCATTCTTGTTTTAAGTAGGGGCCATACTGGGACGTTGTTCTCGATTTTGATTTGGCATAGCGGAGAAGAAATTATCTTTCGGGTTTCTTTCGATTTCATTTATGGCTTTTTTTGTTCTTCCCGGCGATTCCGGAATTCCTAATGGATCTTTTAGCATAAGTTCCGATGCTTGCTATTTTCTGAACAAGTGTCTTCCTGCGCATTTCTGATATATTGACCTCTTTTAGCCGCTTGTTGATTTCTTTTCCGTAGCCTGTAAAGGGAGCGCCTGTCTTCTTTCTATTTCCAGGGTCCCGATATTACATTCTAATCCTCCTTTTTCTTGAGGAATAAGCTTGGCTTACATTCGAGTGCCAACGAGGTAATCTGTTCTTAGGCATAAGTTTTGGGTCTGTGGTGCTTAGGTTATTACTTCCCAGCTTATATCGGTTAGGACTTGGTTTCACTTGGGTCCTACACTTTATGTTTTTGTTATTGAAGTTGTATTTGGTGAATGCCTCCACTCGTGACTAGTTCATTTTGTCGGTCTGAGGGGCTTCCACGCTTACAGGTATGAACCTCAATTATGTTGTGATTGAGTATATTGTTTTTTGATATGGTGACATTTCTTATCAGATCATCATTGTAGTGAAGATGAGGTCTAGTGTATTTCTCAGTCTAGTAGGCTCTATTATTTGATGGTTTTAAATTGAATTTTGTGCAGGAGATTTTAAAAGCTCGTGTGCGTGTGAGTTGTATCAGGAGCTGCCTCCTCGGTGTGTGTTATTTCTGCCAACAATATTATTTGCTATATATTCCTCCATTTTAGGTGCCTTAAGGTGAAATCCCCAGGCAGCAAGATGTTTTGGGGCAGGAGCCTGGAAAGATTTTTATTTCCGACAGTGTGTAATTTTTTAACGCTGTTCCTGGAATTGCTGGGGATGTTTGCTTCCGGTGGCTTGTAGACTACCACAATGACTAGGATTTTGGTTTCCTCCACGACCTTTACTGGCTAAACCTTCCACTACGTCATTTGTGGCATTAAGCAGTTCTGTGCAAACAAGTGATCTCATGACAATGTCAGGCCAACACCCACCTTTTGCCTGTTCAATCTGTCACTTCTGTATTGGTTGGAACCTGGGATTGCTCAATATTTCGTGTTGTCCAGAGTGATCCTTTATAGGGGGCTCAGTACAAAGGTCTCATGTGAAAAGCCGCGAACATTGCCTTTGCCTCTGGCAAGCACGTCCACGGTTTTGAAAGGTATTTTGTTGTTTTTTTGCTGGTTTCTGGACCTGTATTTTTGGCAAAGAAGAATTGTTATCGGACTGGTTGGTATTGTTGTGGTACTGGGGGGGGATTTTTTTTTCCGCGGCATTAGTATCTGTATCTGTTGGGGTTTGGAGTGGAGGCAAATCGACTGTATGGGTCTACACTCCAGGAATGACTGGATTTGGTGTACGATTGCTGCCATTTTCTGCCAGTTTTTTTCCTTCCTGATGGCACTAAAACACCTCTCCTCTCTTGTGTGGACTGTCTGTGCTCGGGGGCTCTATCCCAGCGTTTTCCCATGGCGCTGGAGGTGCTTTGTATCTTTTTGTCTTCCTTCGATGGTATGCTCTGGCATAAATTTTAGTTATAGCACAGTCTTTCCTGTACTGACGAGTGTAACAACATTTCAGGGTGAAGAAAAGCATATCAGGAAGCGGCACGCAAAGTTTGCATTATTTACTGTTCGTCAGATGGGCATGAAATTGTCTAGGGTGGTCATAGTTGGAAATCTGTCCCATCAGTAGTTATTTTTAGACGCATTGGCTTGTTATTCCAATCCAGATTGCCATTTTCCTGCACTGGGATATCCACTTTCCTAGTCTCCAGTTTGCGTTGTTGTTCACATTATTTTGACAGAATAGAATGTAGGCTATCTTGTTCTCCTGTTAGCCGCCTTGATTTTTTTTTTTATTTTTTTATCTTGTATCTTTTCAGAAAAACAGGACATCATGTTCTATTTTGTGTGTTTATCTTATATTTTGTATTGGTTGCTTCCTGCTCACCAGAGATGTTGCGTAGTTGTTTTCTTCTATTTCTTCGTAATACAGGTAAGTCTTGTCTGGCATATTTTTTAATTTCACGGGGGGAAATACAACAATCAGGATATTTTGAATAATGGTGTCACTGACACTCTAGTGATTCAGAAACTGTAGTTTAAACTCTCTTCCTTGGATTAAAATCTGAGTATCTCCCTTTTCCCAGACGCTGTATGAAACCACTTGCGTGTTTTTTTTTTTTTTTTTTTTTTTTTTTTTTTTTTTTTTTTTTTTTTTTTTGTTTTTTTTTTTTTATCGTCTTCCTGGAGTTTACCTGGATACTTCTCCAGGTAAACTCCAAGGGAAAGCGTTGTATGATTACTGAAAACTCCGGGCCTTCACCAGTCTCTCCTTTGTGTATAGATGATGAAAGTCATTGTGTTGCATAAAACGTTTCCATCAACAAAGTTTACGAGTGTTGCTCATGGTGTCCATATTTATAAACTTCTCGGTGGTCTGAATATATTCAAACAGTAATGGTATATAAATTGAGGGGTGTGATCTAACACCTATACTTGGGCCAATATTTCATTTAGATTTTATTTTAATCCCTATATTTTAAGTCTGCAGTGTAACTACTGATAGCTTTCATAATATATATATATTTATATATTTTATGTATATATAGACTATTATATATTCTTATATGTATATATTATATATATATATATATATATTATGAATAGATAGTTATATATATATATATACTATATATGCATCTTTCTTATAGTGTGGTCGTTACATTTATTACTTGATACGTAGAAGTCTGATTAAGAGGGCAGTACTTCGAATTTCCTGTTATTAATCCTATAATCACCTTGTTAACGAAAACCCGGAAGGCAGGTTATGATTGCAATATCACCCTTGTTTACAGACCCGGAAGGCCAGGTATATGATGCTTAATCACTTGATGTACAGACACGAGGATAGTTTCTATGATGCCATAATCACCTGGTTACAGACCCGGAAGGGCCTAGTTTTAGATGCATAATAATCACCTTTGTTTACAGACACGAAGGCAGTTTATGATGCAATAATCACCTTGTTACAGACACGAAGGCAGTTTATGATGCAATAATCACCTTGTTACAGACCCGGAAGGCAGTTTATGATGCAATAATCACCTTGTTACGAAGATGAGGGCAGTTTGGACACCAGTGTTGCTGTCTTACCTTCACTTCTTCTCACAGTGTCAGTCGAAAAGTTTAGGTAAGTCTACTGAGACGTTTCTACCTTGAAGAAGAGAGAGGTGCCTTGATCCAGGGTATGGGAGCTACCCTCCTGTTCCTCGGATCAAACCTGATTACCCTCCGATGTAAAAAATTTATATGTTTAAGGCCTTTTTACGAATGCAGTAATAATAATAATATTGATAAATAATAATAATAATAAATTATAATCATGATAAATAATAATGATTAATAATAATAATAATAATAATAATAAATAGTAATAATGATTAATATTAAATAGTAATAATGATTATTAATAATAAAAAATAATGATAAATAATAATAAATGATTACAGCTCCTTTTATTATCGTTACTTTTATTTCTTTCTTTATTATGCCATAAGAAGGTTATTATTTTATTGTTGAGCACAGTAAAGACGTCTTAGTGGAAGCTTGTAGTGGGGCAACGTTTCGCCCTCTGTTATCAGACGTATGATACCCATCAAGCTGATATGTGCGACACGTAGTACATGTGTCTTAGTCATCGATGTTTCGCTCTGTGTAGTTTTATCAGGTTATATTGCAAGTTATGACTACACAGAGCGAAACGTTCTCTCTATAAAACTCGCAAAATTTGTGTTATTTTCTTCACCTTGAATATTGTTTATTTGTTTGTTTGTTGTTCTTTGTTTGTTGTACCTTGAATTCTATTATTTTTTCACAGTTGTTGTTCTGCAATATATATCTATATCTATATATATATATATATATATATATATATATATATATATATATATATATATATATATATTATGTGTGTGTGTATGTCGTGCCGAATAGGTAAAACTTCAGATTTTTGCTTAAATAGCAACGCTCTTCTTGCCGAATAAGGCAAGGGAAAATTTGTGTAGGCAATAATTTCGCAAAAATCATTCTGAACGTAACGAAAAAAAATATATTTCATTGTATTTGTTTATTATTCAATTACTGTAAACTTCTCTAAAAATCTATTTAGTTGGATTGGGCTAAATTAAATTGCGCTTGTTATAATAAGGTTAGGTAAGTTTTCTAAGGTTCTTTTCGTACAAAATTATTAATTTTTGCATTAACATAAATGAAAAAATATATCTTTAAATATATAAGAGAAATTTTTAGAAAGGACTGAATTTTAAATGAATTCTTGCTAATTGACCAGTTTTACCTATTCAGCACGATATATTTATATAATGAGAAACTCATCTTCCACTGCGAGGGAGCAGTGGAAGATGCTGACTAGTATTGTTCACAGTTTGTCAAGAGATAAACCCCAGGGAGCCAGTGCCCTTAGACCTCTCGCCCTCCAAGGTGAGGTCAGACGACGCCCTGGAGGTCGAGTTCTGCCTCTGTCCCCAGGATAACATTCCTTCTTGGATTCTCATCTTCACCTTCCTCAGAGGAGGTGACACGCTGGCCACTGTCCGCATGTATCACAAAATTAATGTCAACGGCCAACAGAGTGATGTAGACACACTACAGATTCAGTGTAACGGACTTAAACCAGTAGAAACATCCAACCTTAACCCTTGGAGCTACGACCAGCTCTCTGGAATACCTCAACTCTTCAAACTCAATGTAAGTCCCTTCTTGCACAAGTCTTGACTCAGCAACACTTACAGAGGATAACTTAGGTCTGCCACAGTTCACTTTACATGGCACTAGGTATCATGTTTTTTATCGTAGCTATTGTACGTCACTGACGACTGTGGGTTTACAGGCTGTGGCTGGACTCATTTTTTTTTTTTGGCCGCCTTCACCGCACACACCAACACAACTTTCCCAGAGTCACATACTAGTGATTGTTATCCACATAGATACCGAGTTTGATCTGCCATTTAACCCTTTGTGTACGAGAGTAATTATGTCTTAACTGCATATTCAAATCTGATTAGAAAAGAGTTACAGCTCCCATTACAGCCCCGTAGGAGCACCAGAGAGGCATCTTAATTCTTGCTTTCCCGAAAGTTTATTACAGGATACTCATCTTCATTGTTAATATTTTAAGTCTTGAGCATTCAAAATTATATTGCATTAAACCTGAGTTTTTCATATTAAAAATCAGAGCTGATCAACGTCGTCATGATGTCAGTTTGGGTAAAGCAAAACACTATCACTCTGTCTGTGTGTATGTATATATATATATATATATATATATATATATATATATATATATATATATATATATATATATATATATATATTAAATGTCCTGAACTGTACATAAGTGTCTTTTTCCACATCTTGTCGGTATCACCATACCATTTCCTCTTTCCGTCTAGTGCTAGCCAGACAAGCAGGTTACTTAACTGTACTCTTCTATGTCCAGTATTATTGAGACAGCTAGGCTACTTAACTGTACTTATATAGACTTAGTGTACCCAGTACGAAGGTATACATCATAATTCTTTATCCATCACCTTTAGACATAAAACTAGCGTAAAGACAATAAGTATTTTAATATTATGACAGCTGGAGGACGTTGTTTCAGGTCACTCAAAAAAGAGTTTCAATCGTTGAGGAAAATGGAGGTCAAGAGAAAGAATTTTCAGAAGTATGTTTACATGATCTTAACAACATAACGCTGACTGCTGGGAGTGACCCATGTTGCGGTCACCCCAACGTCAGTCTGTCCTGCTCCAGTGGTAAGTGTTTACTGTCTTGCTCCAGTGGTAAGTGTTGACTACCTTGTTCCAGTGGTGTTACTATCTTGCTCCAGTAGTGTTACTGTCCTGCTCCAGTGGTAAGTGTTTACTGTCTTGCTCCAGTAGTGTTACTGTCCTGCTCCAGTGGTAAGTGTTTACTGTCTTGCTCCAGTAGTGTTACTGTCCTGCTCCAGTGGTAAGTGTTTACTGTCTTGCTCCAGTAGTGTTACTGTCCTGCTCCAGTGGTGAGTGTTACTGCCTTGTTCCAGTGGTAAGTGTTACCTGCTCCAGGGGGTATGTATTAATGACTTACCTGCTCCAGTGATGAATGTTACCATCTCTTACAGTCACTTTTAGTCTAGCGCACCGTTACTATCTCATACTGCCTCTCCCTGCTGATTAATGAATACTGATTTTACTATATACAGTGATGTAAAACTTCCATAATATTATATACTCTTTGCAAGAGGTACAGTGTTTCTCTGCCTCTGTTTTGTCTATTATTCCTGGTAACCTTTAAGTCAAAATATCATGCAAGGGACGTAATGTAGACTTGTACAGCTGCTTTAACGTTGTTCTGCAGGTGTGAGCCCCAGTATGAAGTATTCAGATCGTATGATCATCTTCTTGACAGTGATGGTCAGCATACAGCTGTTGACTGTGCTAGGTGTGGTGTGCATAGCCAAAAGGACGAAATTCACTAGGTCACAGGAAACTGGTCAAAACGGACCCTCGCGTGAGGCGACGACGCTCGTCCTAGCCCAGCAGAGAAAGCCGGTACCCACTCCCCGCACTACCTTCCTGCAGAAGCAAGTGACACCCATTGATTCCGACACATCTGCTCCCTCCATCACATATTACACTTCTTCCACCTTAATCTCTATGCCTGCCACGACCCCGTCAGTGCCTGCCAGCCCCATGATCATCGTCGGGAGCACCTGCACTCGTCCTGCAATGCACTTACCGACGGTGAGCTCAGACTTCCATAAATTGCTAGGATTGGCGACACACTCCACCGCAGGCACACACTGATGGCCACACCACAACCTGCAGTGAACATAACCTACACAACAGACAACAAACGAGCTTATTTACCAGAGAGTCATTCGTATTTTCGAAAACTAGGTGACCTTGTATAATGTCTTCCTCTTTATGCAGGTATTATGGCGTGCGTCTGTGAGGTACTGCCAGGAATTTAACGTTTCCTTTCAGTGTTTTGTTGAATGAACTTTGTGAGAACCTTTATTCCTATTTTCAGTTAACTAAGACTTAAGCTTGCTCGCATGAATAATATTTCTCATGATGGGTTTCTTTAATTAGGCTTCATATCTACGGACTATATGTGGGTTGTTAAGGCTGCAATTCGCCTGTACACTTAACACTGGTTAAAGCATGGGTGGGATTTTTTTTGGACTGGAGATCCATATCATTTGTTTAGACTACTGAGGCAAACTTCACAGGCCTCATACTTTTATTAATTAATTGAAAAGTGTGAGAGTTTAAAAGTAACTCAAATTCATATCTTCTGTTTTTACACAGAAAAGATGGAGATAGATACATTACCAATATCAGTTAAATATTAAAGAATAACAAATCACTGATCAGACATTTATTCAGTAAATGTACCTGACATAAACATAAATGTACCTGACATTAACATTAAGGAATGAAGGCAAAGAATTAGATTCCTATTCAGCTTCGGCTTCGCTACGTAAAAGATGTCATGGCTGTGTCCACATTACTATACTGACTAGTCTCTTCCAGTCGCTTGTTCTCTCTAAGCTGGAATATTGCTGTACAGTAATGGCCCCTTTCAAGGCAGGCGAAATTGCTAACATGAAGAATGTACATAGAACCTTCACGGCACAAAGTACGATAAAGCACCTAAATTACTGGGAACGGTAGAAGTCCCTTGATTGGTATTCCCTGGGACGCAGACGAGAAATATACATGATAATATACATTTGGAAAATTCTGGAGGTATTAGTACCAAATTTACACACGAAAATCACTCCCTACGAAAGCAAAAGACGGCAGGAGATGCAACATCCTTCCAATGAAAAGCAGGGGCGCTACGAGTACACTAAGAGACAACACAGTAAGTGTCAGGGGCCCAAGACTGTTCAACTGCTTCCCAGCATACATAAGGGGGATTACCAATGGACCCCTGGCTGTCTTTAAGAAGGCGGTGGACAGGTACCTAAAGTACCTGACCAGCCGGGCTGTGGTTTGTACATCAGTTTACGTGCGGCCAGCAGTAACAGCCTGGTTGATCAGGCCCTGATCCACCACAAGACCTGGTCACGGACCGGACCGCGGGGGCGTTGATCCCTGAAACCTCTCTCCAGGTATGTCCTGAACATTCTTGCTCTTATCAAGTTTAAAGTTTGCTGAATGGGACTGGAACCCTTTGATTCCTTTCTTTGATGTTCGTGTCCAGCGCTCTGTGAGTGTCTTTTTTCCTTCCATCTACCGCAAACCAATGTACAGTGAAATGTTCAGTAGATGATGTGAGCTGTACCCTCCTCCTGGGCCAGAAGTAAATACAAAAACCCAAGTGTAACATTTTCTTCATTCTAGTCTGTTCTATACATATTTTGTAGAAACACGGAATTTGCTTTTCTTTTTTTCAACGCATCCTGTAGAAACAATTGATAAGCAACTGTTAAATGACTATAAATGTCTTGATCTAGATAATGTGGTATTGAGATAGCTTAATGTCAGCAACTGTTGACCATGTAAATGTTTTGATATAGATGTTGTGGTGAGCAGATGAATAATGTTCGCGGAAAAAGCATTCAAGCAGCACTCATTTGTTTCACATTGTGATGCCTATATTAATGAATCTATACGCATTTAATGTTTCAACTTTGATTTAGGTTAATTTTGCTGAAGAGGGCCTGTTCGTGAAGCCGAAATAAATAATATTCAGTTTTCTTCTGTTTTATTGTTCCACGTTGGTTGGTAAGATAAGATAAGATTTCGTTCGGATTTTTAACCCCGGAGGGTTAGCCACCCAGGATAACCCAAGAAAGTCAGTGCGTCATCGAGGACTGTCTAACTTATTTCCATTGGGGTCCTTAATCTTGTCCCCCAGGATGCGACCCACACCAGTCGACTAACACCCAGGTACCTATTTGCTGCTAGGTGAACAGGACAACAGGTGTAAGGAAACGTGTCGAATGTTTCCACCCGCCGGGAATCGAACCCGGGCCCTCCGTGTGTGAAGCTGTGATTAAAGGAGATGGGACATTCACTGACGACAACAGTGTTCGATGAAGACATTTACTGACGACAACAGTGTTCGGTGAGGACATTTACTGACGACAGTAGTATTCGGTGAGACATTCACTGACGACAACATTGTTCGGTGAAGACATTTACTGACGACAACAGTGTTCGATGAGGTCATTTACTGACAACAACAGTATTCGGTGAAGACATTCACTGGCGACAATAGTGTTCGGTGAGGACATTCACTAACGACAACAGGGTTCGGTGAGGACATTCACTGACGACAATAGTGTTCGGTGAGGACATTCACTAACGACAATAGTGTTCGGTGAGGACATTCACTAACGACAATAGTGTTAGGTGAAGACATCCACTAACGACAACAGGGTTCGGTGAGGACATTCACTAACGATAACAGTGTTCGGTGAGGACATTCACTAACGATAACAGTGTTCGGTGAGGACATTCACTAACGATAACAGTGTTCGGTGAGGACATTCACTAACGATAACAGTGTTCGGTGAGGACATTCACTAACGATAAGTGTTCGGTGAGGACATTCACTAACGATAACAGTGTTCGGTGAGGACATTCACTAACGATAACAGTGTTCGGTGAGACACTAATCAATCTAAATAGTTTTATGACCCAAATGGTACTGGATACACCAGGTGATATGCATAATGCAAATGTAGTCAACACTGAATTTGTAAAAGCCTTTGACAAGTGCGACTATGGGATAATTGCACACAAAATTCGTGTAAAAGGAATAACTATGAGGGTGGGCTGATGGATATTAAGCTTCTAAACACATGAAACCCAAAGTAACAGTAAATAAACATAGATCGAGCTGCTACAGTGAAGTTTTGTCCCCCAAGACACAGTTCCCACCCCACTTCTCTTTCTCATTCTCATATCTAACATATACAGGGATATAAACCATAGTACTGTATCATCCTTTGTAGACGGTACTAAAATTTGTATGAAAGTGGCATCTGTAGAAGATACAGCGAACCTCCAAGCTAATATAAACCAAGTCTTTCAGTGGACTCAATTTCAGTTACTACGTCACTGAAGAATAGAGGAAATAAAAACATATCAGAGTACAAGACAAACTCAAACCACTCAATAGAACATAAGTCAAATGCGAAGAGACGTGGGTTTGATAATGTCACGCTCAAGGAACACAACAATGTTATCGCGACTGCAAGAAAATGATGGGCTACATAACTTGAACCTTCAAAACAAATGTAAAGTCAATAATGATCCTCTTCTGGTCACTCGTTCTCTCTAGGCTTGAATATTGCTATGTATTACATAAGGGCTCCTTCAAGGCAAGTGAAACTGTGGAGCTGGAGAATTTATAGAGAGCCTTCATTGCTTGTATAAACTCAGTCAATCATTGAGTCCTTAGAGCTTAGAAAGTAGGCGAGAAAGATACATTATAATCTACACCTGGAAGATTCTAGAGGAACTGGTCCCAAACCTGCACACCGATATTACTACTTATGATGGTGCAGGATATCTCCAATGAAGAGCAGGGAAGTGTTGAGGGGGATCACCAACAAACTCCTAACTACTCTGATATTCTGTTTGTGGTAACGTTTCACTCTCCAGGAACTTTGTCAAGCCGGCTTGACAAAGTTCCTGGAGAGCAAAACGTTGCCACAGTAGAATATTACATTAGCTGCGCATGTGTCCTTGTACCTAATACATTGTCGGTATTTCTGCCAACATTATTACAAACTCCAAGCCGTTTTCAAGAGCGAACTCGACTGGTTCCTCAAAACAGCTTCTGATCATCAGAGTTGTCATGTATACATTGGACTGTGGTTAGCTAGCTTAATATCTTTATTATGCGCCCCATACCAATGGTGTGGGCAGTAGTCAAGAGTACAGAGGCATTATACACAAATAACCCGCACATAAAAGAGAGAAGCTTACGACGACGTTTCGGTCCGACTTGGACCATTGACAAAGTCAGTGTGACTGTCAATGGTCCAAGTCGGACCGAAACGTCGTCGTAAGCTTCTCTCTTTTATGTGCGGGTTATTTGTGTATCGTTCCAGTCACGGTATTGTGCCTTTTATGTTATTTATGTACAGAGGCATGATGGATCCAGGGACTGGTGTGGGCAGTAGTCAAGAGTACAGAGGCATGATGGATCCAGGGACTGGTGTGGGCAGTAGTCAAGAGTACAGAGGCATGATGGATCCAGGGACTGGCCCCATTATGCCTCTGATAGCTAAACAAGTTGCAGTGGTAAAGAAATATTTATATGTTTATATATGGTTACATTGAAAGAAGTTAACATGTCAAGTAATTCTTCATGAGTTTACAGACAATTACCGCCTGGTCTTGCCGTTTAAATATTCGTTATGCAATCGAAAAAAAAACAATTGCAACTTGTATATATACTACCAATTCAGAGTCATGTACCTATATATGTGTTATATCTATGTGACTCTGATGGGTTAGTATTATACCCCTTCAAGAATTTTCTATTATTTCACATACACTTTTTAAATTGCACCAAACTGGTTGTGTCACTTACCTTTTATATCCTACCTCTCTCCCCCCTCCCACCCTTTTCCAATATTTCTATCCTTACCCATCCCTCTTCCTTACCCATCTTACCAAAGACTCTGGTTATAAGAAGAAGATTTGGTTACAGCCGTAATGAGTTATTTATGCAGACACGAATTGTCACAAAAAAATATTACCTTATATTTTAGCAAGGAATGCTTGCCAAAAAAAAAAAGGTGTCTATGTATTATTTACAGTGGGTAAAGTCAGGACATTTTTCAAGAATGGCTGGTAATATATCAGTGAATAAAATACTTACGGGCGGCGGGCACTAACAGTTTCATCGATTAGGTCAGTAACCAGGTTTGGTCTGGTCTGGAACCGGGCCGCGGGGTGGTGACCTTCGGAAGTGACTCCAGGTAACCAGGCAGTCTTTTCTTGGATCACATCTAATTCCCTCTCATTCCCCAGGTGCTATACGACTCCCCCCCCCCTTCCCCATTAAAGGTTATAAGTGCTTACTCGTGATTATGTAAATAATTATAATACTTGTGTAGTTGGTTGCTTGTTTATTATATGAAACAAACATCAAATCATTGAAGTGTTACGTATTCCTAGTCCGAATTTAGAAGCGAAGTGCATGAACATTCTCGAGCCTCAACTTCTCTAACTCATCAAACTGTTTCTTGAGCCTGGCCAGCATCACTCCCTGGATACACAATACAGCCGCCCCAACTGCTACCAGACACGACACCCACACCCACCTTCTGATGGTGCGCTGAGTCCTCAGTCCTGCAGGGAACAAATTCATGGGTCAATATCATGAGGAAATATGTGCGCGACTAACACTTGTCACAGAAGGAAGGCAGACTGTGTCTGTGGGAAATTAGTGGGTGATACCACCTGTGGAACATCACGCTACTTCAAATTTTCCAGACTGTTAACTATCCCCAGTTAGGGACAGAGGAGGGGAACAAGCAGACCCACGTATGCTTACTAGAGGGTGCCACATTTCTTTATATACGTACTTTTAATTTGTAAGACTTATTAGTAATTGAGGCTCTACAAACTAATGTACTATACACTACTACTTATACGTATTTAAGCTAAGTTAGATTAATTCAGCAGAGTGACTACATTACTTCTCATATCCTACATAATTATTGGAGTAGGCACGTTGTTGTTGTTGTTGTAGATTCGCCGGTACTTTTACCGGCCCGGGTCTGCTCAAGAAGAAATTTCTCACCTAGCTGGTAGTATAAGAATGGTATATAATACCGACAAGATGAAATTAAGACACATGTGCAACATCTGGGTATCTTTATTGTAGACGTTTCGCCATCCAGTGGCTTTATCAATACAAATTCTAGGACATAACTTGAAGACAGTAGAACTATGTACAGAAGATGAGGTAATCAGTCCCTCAATCTAGGAATAGGTGCGAAGAGCACCTGAGGGACTGATTACCTCATCTTCTGTACATAGTTCTACTGTCTTCAAGTTATGTCCTAGAATTTGTATTGATAAAGCCACTGGATGGCGAAACGTCTACAATAAAGATACCCAGATGTTGCACATGTGTCTTAATTTTAGCTGGTAGTAATAAGTTATCACAAGTTATATACACTGATGGATCTAAACAGGAGTCTTCTGGCAGGGCTGCATCTGCTCTTGTTGCCACCTCCCTAGTTAAGAACAATAATAAACTTGTGGAGTTAGGCATAAGAATTAACAACTGGGCGTCTACACTGCAAACTGAATTGTTTGCAATCCTAATGGCGCTAAAGCTAACCAATGACACTGAGCTTGACTCTATCATCATTACTGATTCTATGTCATCATTGAAGGCTCTTGGCTCATATAATGACTCCAACAACATGCTCATTGGGGAAGCCAGGTATAGATACTCAAAAATTAGGGACAAAGGAATTAATGTACAATTGCTATGGATTCCATCACACATTGGATTACTCCATGATAAAGTTGATATGTTAGCCAAGAAGAGTACCCAGAAGGAGAATGTAGAATATAACTTTGGTATAACTGTGTCTAGCATTAGGAATAATATTAGGAGAGAAGTAAATAATGAAAATGATTGTTATAGGAATGCAGTTAGAAGCCTGAGTAGATCTATAACCCACTATGATAACATGAACGTAGATAAGTATGTTTATGGAGCAACGTGCAATGTGAACACTGACTGATGTTGTAGTGGCCAGGCTTAGGCTTGGTTACAAGTACTTCTGGCAGTTTGGGAGACACAGATGATGATCAAACTAAATGTAAATTATGTGATCAGGCATATGGTCACTCTCTTGAACACTATGTGCTTAATTGTCCACTTATTGAGGAATACAGAGACAGACAGTATAATAACCTATGTGACATGTCAAGATATCTTATTAATGAAAATAAGATACCAGATATACTAAGCAAATTTCCTAAATTTGCTTGTAACAGATAAGTGAACTATAGATATGTAGATATAAATCCATATGTATTCCTGTTAACCCTTTGGGGCCTAGTTCCTAGGCCTTTTGTGTATCCATATGCTCTCGCGCTACCGTCCACAGGATGGATATGGGGTGCACAATAAACTAGCCACTTCGGTGGCAAAATCTAAAAATCGGGTCTTTTCCAGATAGTGACCCGGCCAGTAGGCACTTGTACCAGTTTGAATGTCCAGCCGGCTGCGACTATTAGTCATAAAAAAAAACAGTGAGCACAGGACTACTTATCCTGAAGCTTTGCAATGAAGTCCTCTAACATTCGATAACACATTACGACGCAAATCAGAGACATTTCACTTGGATAAAGGATCTCTTGCTACGGTACAAGGCGGTTACAGGTGACCACGGCCTATCACCCCTCCACGTAAGTATCTCAAGTGTATTGAGTGTTCATTTAATGTACCTTGGGCCTACGTGCGTGAAAGGGGTCTGGCCACTTACCTCCACCAGAGAACTATAGCGCAACCGTCAACACTACCACTGCTCATGTGAGAATGGAGGTAAGTAAATTAATTCAGGTATAGGAATGAGGTGGCAGGTTCCTAGCCTGGATCCACACATTGACTGGCCATGGGCCACTAACCTAACCAGTCAGGACTCACAGACATCCTTTATTCTACACACCACCAGAGAATGAGAAAATGACATTGTGTGATATTAGTGTTATACCACTACTGAAGGACAGAGCGAGCTTGTAAGAGAGCAAGTCAGTAACACTCACCATGGAAGCAGCAGAAGCTGACTGAGGGACGACCACAACACGGGTCACTCTTAATAGTCACACTAATGTTGCGTAGATCTTTAAGTTTACACACTTCTGTCAGCCACATTTCCTCTTGGCTACCAGTCTTATCTCCGACTGAAATTTGACTTTTATTCATCTGAAACAATTGTTTCTTACTGTTGCAACTGATCCATTATAAAACAGGAATATTAAATATATAATTCTGTTATATTGTTACAAGTCATACTACTCTCCGCCTCTACACTTACCTTGCCCATACAGATGCAATGACCATGTTGTTCATTCTTAACTTATAATTTGCAGATTTTAGGCTTGGCAAAATGTATTTTGGAATGCTATATTATTATTATTACTAATACTAATATATTATTATTATTATTGTAGCTACAACTAATACTGATATTATTATTATTATTATTATTATTATTATTATTATTATTATTATTATTATTATTATTATTATTATTATTATTATTACTAGTACTACCACTACTGATATTATTATTATTATTATTATTATTCACGGGAAGAAGTAAATCCGTAGTGATTCAAGAGATAAATATATAACAGGGATAGCAAGCATCCGGTGATAGATGGAGTACATCACAGAGATAAATATATAACAGGGATAGCAAGCATCCGGTGATAGATGGAGTACATCACCTCACTGATGTCTCTCCCAGCGGGACTGGAATGATATATACTATAACCTTATTTTCTACATATAAATTATTATATTAACATTCTAAGGGAATAAAAGGAGTAATTGCTTTTATATATAAAAATCAAATGACAGCTCAAACTCAGTCTATGTTGATAACACTCACTTGTAAAAATGATGTTACTCTTGCTGTGTTGATGTGTGTTAAGGCAGCCAACCATGGCTAACACTGCAGCACCAGGACAAACACAATACAGATAAGTCCAGCCACAGATGGGAAACCCAAAGCCACACAGTGACGTAGGTAGGACGGGAAGCCGTGATGTCAAATGAACCGTGGTAGACCTGTTATCCTCTACAAGCGTTGGCTTGTCAAGACGAAGCAGAAAATACTTGCCTTGAGTTTGAAGAGTCGACGTATTCCTGGGAGCTGGTCGTTGTAACTCCAAGGGTTGGATGCTTCTACTGGCCTCTCACTTTGACATTGCATTTGTAGTGTGTCTACATCACTCTGTTGGCCGTTGACATTAATGTTGTGATACATGCGAACACTGGCCAGCGTGTCACCTCCTCTGAGGAAGGTGATGCTGAGGATCCAAGATGGAATGTTATCCTGGGGACAGACGCAGAACTCGACCTCCAGGGCGTCGTCTGACCTCACCTTGGAGGGCGAGAGGTCTAAGGACACTGGCTCCCTGGGGTTTGATTCTTGGCAAACTGTGAACAACACAATAGTCAGCGTATCCCACTACTCCCACGCACCTTCAATACGCTTACCAAAATCTTTTAATTTTCTCTTTTATATGTTGGTCTATATTTGTGCAGTCGTCACTAAATTTGACCTGATGGGTCTCCACAACAAAATCTTCAGCATCTCACCTCAGTTGCTGACATTCATGTCTGTCTTACCACACATCCTCCACACGTTAACGAAATCATAAAGAGTTGACCGCAAGTGACATTTTGTAGCTCACAATTATATGCATATTACCGTAATAAACAAATCAGCTTCAGCAATGGTAAAGTAGCTGTCCGTAAGCAACAATTAGCCATGTTTGTGTTGATGGTGTTCGGGCAGATAGGCTGCACAAAGCACCACCTACTTTACCTGCGTTGTTCGCGTAAGCAGTCATTTTGAAACAGGTATTGCATTTTATTTTTCCCAGAATATACCTGCCAAAATTGGGATGCGCCTAATATGTTCGTGCTCATTATAAGCTGGAAAGTACGGAAACTTAACTCACAATACTTTTAAACTTGTTTCAACTCAGCCATATCTTGCTAAAACATAAGGTAATATCATTCAAAATCACATATAAGTTACACTCGAATATTTTTGTAACTGAATTCATGTAAGCAGATATAAGCAAGGTAAAGAACTTATGACCACTGTAACTAGCTTATCTATAAAAACTTTGGGGCTCAGTCCCTGGACCCATTATGTGCCTCTGCAGTGTTTTGATTGCCACTCACACCATAGGTATGAGGTGCATAATAAATATATTAAGTGAACTCCAAACTAAAAAAAATAATACATTGACTTACCCAACTCTCTCGATCGAGACTGTGTGACGTGTTGAAGCTGTGAGATTATAACCACCACCCAAACTGCCCTCATTGTAACAAGGTGATTATACCATCATAAACTGTCCGTGTCTGTAACAGTGATGATAGTATCATAAACTGCCCTCATGTCTTTAGGTAATTATAGCACTATAAACTGCCCTTATGTCTATAACAATGTAATTATAGCACCATAAACTGTCTTCGTATTTGTAACTATGTGATTATAGCACCATAAACTGTCCTACTGTCTGTAACAAGGCAATTATAGCACAATAAAATGCCTTCGTGTTTGTAACCATATGATTATAGCGCCATAAATTGCCCTCGTGTCTGTAACAAGGTAATTATAGCACCATAAACTGCCCTCGTGTCTAAGAAGGCAATTATAGCATCATAAACTGCCCTCGTGTCTGTAAAAAGGCAATTATAGCACCATAATCTGCCCTCGTGTCTGTAACAAGGCAATTATAGCACCATAAACTGCCCTCGTGTCTGCAACAAGGCAATTATAGCACCATAAACTGCCCTCGTGTCTGTAACAAGGCAATTATAGCACCATAAACTGCCCTCGTGTCTGTAACAAGGCAATTATAGCATCATAAACTGCCCTCGTGTCTGTAACAAGGCAATTATAGCACCATAAACTGCCCTCGTGTCTGTAACAAGGCAATTATAGCATCATAAACTGCCCTCGTGTCTGTAACAAGGCAATTATAGCACCATAAACTGCCCTCGTGTCTGTAACAAGGCAATTATAGCACCATAAACTGCCCTCGTGTCTGTAACAAGGCAATTATAGCACCATAAACTGCCCTCGTGTCTGTAACAAGGCAATTATAGCACCATAAACTGCCCTCGTGTCTGTAACAAGGCAATTATAGCACCATAAACTGCCCTCGTGTCTGTAATAAGGTGATTACAACATTGTAAACTACCCTCTTGTATTATTTGTTTCCTCTATTCACAAGTTTATACAGAGATTGAATAATTGAAGTCTTGATTTGTTTCTCACTATTTAACACTTCAGCGCTTAGTACTATTATTATAATCAAAACCAAGCGCTAAACCCACAAGGGCCTTACTGGGCAGCTCTTAGTGGTAGTGAGTTCTGCAACACAGGAAGATAACCTGCATCTAAACGTTGCATTCCAACAATGCTGAAGACAATGTATAGGCTGCAGAAGACGTCTTTGAGTTGGGACAACATTTCGCATAGTTGATCGAAACGTTCTACATATAAAAAAAATATTACGTGATAAAGCTCTAAACTGAATGAAACGTGACTTGATAAAGCTCTACGCAGAGCAAAACACGACTAAATAAAACTGCACAGCGAAACATAACTAGATAAGCTCTACATAGAGGAAAAAACGTTGTCCCATAAAAGCTTACCTCTGGAAAAACAGTTCAGAGATCTTGCTTATCCTTCCTGTGTGCTTCACATGCTACTGCTGACTCCATCCTGTTTCTTGCTCTTTCTCCCTCCCCCAAACCCTCCTTCCTTCCCTTAACTCTCCCTCCCCAAACCCTCCCTCATCTCCTTCCTTCATCTCCCTTCTCTCATCTCCCTCCTTGCCTCGTCTCCCTCCTTGCCTCATCTCCCTCCTTCCTTCATCTCCCTCCTTGCCTCATCTCCCTCATTGCCTCATCTCCCTCTTTCCCTCCTTCCTTTATCTCCCTCCTTGCCTTATCTCCCTCTTTCCCTCCTTCCTTCATCTCCCTCCTTGCCTCATCTCCCTCCTTCCCTCATCTTCCTCCTTCCCTCATCTCCCTCCTTCCCTCATCTCCCTCTTTCCTTCATCTCCCTCCTTGCCTCATCTCTCTCCTTCCTTCATCTCCCTCTTTCCTTCATCTCCCTCCTTCCTTCATCTTCCTCCTTCCCTCATCTCCCTCCTTCCTTCATCTCCCTCCTTCCTTCATGTTCCTCCTTCCCTCATCTCCCTCCTTCCTTCATCTCCCTCCTTCCTTCATGTTCCTCCTTCCCTCATCTCCCTACTTCCCTCATCTCCCTCCTTCCTTCATCTCCCTCCTTCCTGTACTGATCATCCTTACTGAAGTGAGCTGCCATGTCTGAATAAGTATCATGCTGAGCGCTAAACCCATAGGGAGCCACACCGCGCCTGGAGAATGAGAGATAATGAGGTTAGATCCAAGGGCAGGATAGTTTCTCTTCCTTGGATCAAAAGCCCTTCAACAGTATCAAGACATCTTTCACCTTCCTGAATATATATATATATATATATATATATATATATATATATATATATATATATATATATATATATATATATATATATATATATATATATATATGCAATAAGATCACAGTAAACAGGTGATTTTAGAATATGCAAAACAACCACTCTGAAAGAATAGAGAAATTCCAAGCGCTTTCGTGACTACTCCTTGATAATGTGAGTAGTCACGAAAGCGCTTGGAATTTCTCTATTCTTTCAGAGTGGTTGTTTTGCATATATATATATATATATATATATATATATATATATATATATATATATATAATATATATATATATATATATATATATATATATATATATATATATATATATATATATATATATATATATATAATGAAAATGTGTATATGTATAAAGAGAAATGTGTATGTGTATATATACTGAGATGATGTGTATCTGTATACACCGAGACATGTATCTCATTGTATATAATACATTAGGTACCTGCATACCGAAAGGTTTGTATTTCAATGTGAATACACCAACAGGTGTATACCTCACACCCTGGAGATGTATATATATTACACCAACAGTTGTATTTCTTCTGGATGTGTTTATGTATATACACTGCGAATTTATTTATGACTCTTCAGGAAGGTGAAAGATGTCTTGATACTGTTGAAGAGCTTTTGATACACACTTTTTTTAACACTCTGGGCGTCTCCCACAAAGGCAGGGTGATCCCTCAAGAAAAGGAACTTACACCATCATTCACACTATCACCGTCTTTGCAGAGACGCGCATTATTATTATTATTATAATAAAAAGAAGCGCTAAGCCACAAGGGCTATACAGCACAGAGACGCGCAGATACGACAGTTTAGATGTCCTTCCAAACAGCAAATATCCCAAACCTCTCCTTTAGAGTGCAGGCATTGTACTTCCCACCTCCAGGACTCAAGTCCGGCTAACCGGTTTCCCAGAATCCCTTCACAGCTCATCAAGTCCCAGAAACCATTCGTTTTCATTCACTCCTAAGACGCTCACACATGCCTAGTGTATATGTACACACACTTCAGCTTATTTACCTATTTGCCAGTACATATACACAGTATATATACACACCACTCAGTTAAATACACAAATGTACACCCTGTATTATTATTATAATCAAAAAGAAGCGCTAAACCACAAGGGCTATACAGCGCTGCTGTACACCCTGTAAAAGTTATATGCATGGAAATGCGCTAAACCCGTACAGGTCATACAGTGCAATGGGAGGGAGAATTTTATTCCGAGGAAAGGGAGGAGTAGTTCCATTATTGTGTGGGAGCGCTAAATCCATAGGGATTATACAGCGCCAGGTGGGGGAGGGGTTGGAAGGCATTCAGGCTCAGTTCGGGGAAACTGGAGCAAAGATCCAATTTCCCGGATCAAGAGCCCCTCACTAGTAACAAGGAACCTCCCTTGAGGGGCAGGGGTAGCTCCAGTTCCTTGAATCAAGAGCAGTGCGGCGGCATAGAGGAATGTGCCACAGTGGCACCTTGCCAGTAACTAAAACTGTTGCATTATCACAATTATTATTACATTTATGGACGCCTGGAAAATGGGAGGCAATCAGGTTCGATCTATGGGAGGAAAGATGCAATTCCTTGGATCAAGAGCATTTTACCACTATCAAGGAACCTCCCTTGAGGGAAATATTACAGTGAGGTTACACCAATGTTTACAGTAAGGTTACACCAATGTTTACAGTAAGGTTACACCAATGTTTACAGTAAGGTTACACCAATGTTTACAGTAAGGTTACACCAATGTTTACAGTAAGGTTACAAAAATTGCACCAATGTTTACAGTGAGGTTATAAAAAATACGCCAATGTTTAAGTCACCTTCGGTATTTTTTAATGACTTAAATACAATTCATTACAAGTTTCATTATATTGACCAATTTCTAAAAAAATATATAGAAACTGGGAAAGAAGCCTAAATGGGAATGAAAGGTAATCAGGCTTGATCCAAGGAAGGGGAGAGAGCTCCAATTCCTTGAATCGAGGAATTTACCAGCATCAAGGCACCTCCCTCGCACTATCCTTGAAGGGGATAATGATGTATAATATATCTCAACATAATCTTATAAACTATCAAAAAGTTTGAGCGGTAAAATATCAGTATAAAATTTAAACAGAGAAATTTTAAAGTATGTCACAAATTAAAATATAGTATAACAATAACATTTCAATGAAATTCATTTTTTGCTATTCAGAATTAAGTCAATTTTGTGCATTAGGTGTTATAGCCACATTCACCTGTAAGCCGCTGTTACTAACAACAAGGTTCACTTCTGGGTCATGCCACATATCTATAAACTGCATTTCTGTACATCTTAAAGGTACTCGTCCATACGAAAGAAGAAATACACCTTTTATTTCACCATCTATTTTGACTAATCTACTTAAGTTTTCCACCCTGACACCTTTTGCTTTGAGGCCCTGAACAAACCGACGAGCACCTTCAGCAGAGACTCCAGATAATGCCAAGGTCCTGTAATTAGAACTCATGCGCCGGAGGAGGTTTGTAACTGGCATTACGTGAGCATCATCAATGAATGGAAGGAACACATCCAAGCTGACCCAGCCACCTGCTGAAACACAAATCCTTGGATTGAAATCCCTCACTGTTATATGCAGAGCTAATTCTTCTAAATTCTCAGCCGACTGGCTAAAGACTAAAATCATCTCTAGTGTTGTCTGGTTCTGAACTATTACATCTAATTTTCTTATGTCCGGCATTTTATATAAAAGGAAGCACCCGTCTGCACTGAGCTTTCCTTTTAATGAATATATAACACACTTTGCTGACGACTCACAGAGAATTTTTATGTAATCATCACATGAATTTTCGAACTGAAGAAAATAATATAAGAAATTTATAAAAATCTTTACAGATCGTTCAGCGATCCGGTTCAGTAATGGTTTTAGGCTAACAATTGTGTCTGGGTTTTCTTCAAGAATCAGGAGAATAACAGATGGGGTGGCGTACTGCAGTAACTGGTAGATGGCCTTGACATTTGTGTCAGTGACAGCCCAGCTGTCTGGCATGAAACTACTAACCTCCCTAACAACTACGTCAGAATATTCAGAGTAAATAACCACATCAGGCAAATTGCAGTTTTGACAATGATTTATGACCTTAGTCAAAACTTTTGCTGTGTCTTTATTTAAATTTTTCTGTATAATTAAAATTGAAATTGTATGCAACAACACTTCATAAAATCGGTCTACTTGCCCTATTTGTGAGAGATCCACATTCAGCAATTTGGCAAGTTTCTCTTCATCAAAGGTTTCCTCTGACATCAAGTAGCAAATATGTTGTGCGGCAAAGTAATTCTGTTGTGTGTTGTGAACAAACATGTACTGAGTTAGTCCCATTGGTGAATAATCCGTTGTGGGGGTCAGAAATGTTGAGAAACAGTCTGTATATGAAGGCAGAAACATTCCTTTGTCCTTCAGTAATTTTTCATCCGACTCATCAATAATCATGAATCTGTTTTTAATTGTCATATTGAAAGCTACTTTGTACAATATTTGGAGCCAATTTTGAACCCGTTCACATATTTCTTCTTCAGTTAGGCTGCACTTCACTTCAAGCTTTTCAATAACATTTTTCAGCTGCACATCTTGTATTGCGGCGTACAGGTGAGACAACGTAGCACCTACGTCATTCATAGACTTCTCCTTCCAAATTTGCACAGACAGTATTAACTTTAGAGGGTTACTGAGCTCCTTTTGAACTTCTGGAGTTAGTTGCTGCAAATATTTCATAAACTTGTAATATTCTTCATTACGCTCTGTTACATCACTGTTGTCTCTTATTAATAGTGATCTGAGAAGCGTGCTCCTCCCTTCACTACTGAGACCACACAGTGTTACTTCACAAACAGGTTTCCCTGGCGGCAACATACTGGTAATCTCCAAACTATACTCCGGTCGAGATGTTATAAGAACAATCTGTTCTGGTCCTGCCATGTTAAAGATCGACATTAATAAGGCTTTAGCATCAAATGACGCTTCTTCATATCCATCAATTATCCACAATATTCTCAAGGAATTAAGAATGTTCTCAACTTCAACAGGTCCACAGGAAAGGATGGTCCCAGGAAGCTTATGCCGGAGAAGATGAATAAGATCGCGAGTGAATACATCACGACACTGAATTAACAGAACCAAGTCACATTCATCCAGGTCTTCAATCATCTTGTTATTCTTCAACCAAACATCCAGAACCTGTCTGGAAAGAGATATTAATATTACTTTTGTAGAAAACGTTAGCTTTTAAAGATCATTCAGTGCTGCAACGTTAGGTTGAAAGAAATATCAGTTCAGAGCAAATGACCAACACTGTCATAGAAAATGTATGTTATCATATTCACTGGACAATGCTAAATCCGTTAGTCATTCAGCACCTGGAAATGGGAGATAATTAGGTTTGAGTCGAGGACGGGGAGCGTAGCGCTAATTCCTTGTGTCACCAGCCATTCATGACAGTCAAGGAAACTCTTGAAAAGTCCAAGGTAGATAGGTGTGTATAACTGCGGTCCATGTGACAGGTGTCCATTATTATTATAATCAAGGGGGAGTGCTAAACCCGTAGGATTATGCAGCGCCTGTGGGGGGGGGGAATGTGGAAGGTATTCAGGCTTAATTCAGGGAACTGGAGCACAGATCCAATTCCCTAGATCAAGAACCCCTCACCAACATCAAGGAATCTTCCTTGAGAGAGACAGGTGTCCAGATTTGTATTTTGGTCACACGGAACAACATCTTGACTTAACAATATCTCACTACAAGTGTTTCATTCTCTCTGGCTAACTATAATTATTGTTCACGTTTGAATAAAAATGAGTCACCCAATGGACAGGTCTAATGCATGCAAATAAATTCGAAATAATTCCAAGTCTCAGTGAAATATTCTTGATTTAAATATAAAAAAATATTATTATAGTCATGTGAAGCGCTAAGCCCTTTTGGATTTTTCAGATAAATATGATAAAGCATAAGAACAAATATGAGGATAATTAGATTAGTATTATATACATGAAAAACTATTCCTGTAAAGGTCATACAGCATTTGGTGAGTAAGAAGTAATTAGGCTTTATCCGAGGAAGCGGATTAGCTCAGATTCTTAGAATCAAGATCTCCCCTCCCCCTTGAAAGATCCCAAGTAAAGACAAGTACATTTAGGTCATCCGGGTATTTCAGGTAGACGAAGTTTAATTAAAAACACAGCTTATGTTGAGCTTAGAAACTGTTCTCAATTTATAGCACTGCTTGACTAGGGCCATTTTTGCACCGCATACTTACTGAGACAGAAAGGTTTTCCCTGCTCCAGTGTCTCCACGCAGGAAGATGATCTGTGGCAGAGTCCCATCCACACACCGCCACTTGAGAAAGTGTTCCAGGTACAGCACCTCTTCGTGTGTCATCGCTGTCATGCCAGTTACACGTTTAATTACCGGCATGAAAAATGAGATGCTCTTGTCTAAAGCGGTCCCTCTCTGCTCCTTCTGTTCTTGTTTAGCACAGATAGAAAACTTCTGAGGTGTAATGCCAGAGGATGGCCAGGAAGTTTGTAAGTCATTAATTGACTTCTTGATGTTATCTGTTGCTTCTTTCACGCTTTGTGGACTTCGACCAGTGGACTGACCAGCTTCTTGTACAATATGACAACACATGTCACAAAGCTTGCTGACACGATCTTTAAGGTCTTGTTCAGTCATGTGTGTAAAACTCAGGATCTCATGATCAAATTCATTTCTCATTTCCTTTATCTTATATAGTGTGTGTTCTAGGCTCTGTTCTTCAGCTGGTGTTGTAGGCTTGTTCCAAATGGATCCTGCAGGTCTGTCCTCAGTAAGGTTGCAGGTACGCTGAAGGAGGATATACAACAATGTTATGTCCATGTTTACAGGCTTCTCTCGTCGGTTTAGTTTTGCCATTTGTTTTGTTTTAATGTTCCTCAGTCCATTGGGAGTTCTACGTAGGCAGTCGCCAACATAGAGTCCTGGCTCATGCTGGTGGGTGTGGTGATACAGCCACATGAACACGCGGCACATCTCTCTTTGAGCCACAACATTAACACAGTTGAAATACCTGTCACAGTTTATATTTGAACGCAGAGTTTGTAAGCTTGGTGTGACCATCTTTACTGAAGTCCTTGTATTTGGATTAATAAATAGTTTTCAGTCTATTCGTCAATAAGTTTGAGCTATTTTTCTCGAAACTTTCATGCCGTGTCAAAGAGGCATATAACTTTCTATCAGGAATAATGTTCACGTATTCTACGTTAACCCACTAGTTTTGACACCCAAGTTCTTCCATACGATAAAGATGTTGGCACTGTTACTTCTGAGGTTTCTTCTGGTGACATCGAGTGTTAGTGTTGTGTGGTGATTCACTGACTAGTTAGGTTTGGTAGAATGATTTTTAGGCTTGGGTATAGGGCAGATTTAGCTGAAGCGCTGAAAATGTTGTATGCACACACCAGTTGACACTTGCATAGCAACACTTCTGATAAGTGACAGCCAGCCTGGATATTTCAAGTCAGAGTAAAAATTAATAAAATTGAAATAAGTCCTTCCCATTCAACATGTTATTATACATAATACATTATAGTAATTCGAAAATAAATTTTCTACAAAGAATCCACATTTTTGACACATTATAGGAAAATACTGCTAATGAATACGATGGAGTTCACAAGAAAGTAACCTGGATATAAAGCTTATCTTTCAATAAGCGCCCAAAGTACGGTTGGTTACCCTGATATTTACACGAATCGAGAAATACAAGTAAATCTTGAATAATATAGCTACAAACCTTATTCTCTTTAGATTTTTTCACTTAACAAATACAATATTCCTCCACAGAATGAGTAAACATTAATAGATATGAATGAGTTGGGGATTGGTAAAACTGAGTCCCTCCTGAACGTAAACAAATCATACTGGCGTTCCGTCAGGTTCACTGCTATACCCATAAACAATATTAGTAAGTTTATTTAGGTACAGTTACATAAATCTACGTGACTACGATTATCATACATAGTAACATATATGTAAATTACCTAAGATAACCCCCAAAAATACCAGATGAAGTGACTTACTATCACTGTATTAAATCAATCAATACGTGCAATTTGTAAAATTATTCAATCATGTATATTTTTCGTCCCAAGCTATTTATAATAATTATTTTTAAGTGCAAAATTTCATACAATTAGGTATTCAGAGATCAGGATATTATATAATCCCAGAGTTTTTAACAGACCTAACGAACATGACGTAACATGACGCAACAACTCTGAACCTGTCAAAAAAATAATACAGATTCAAATTCATCTCAAAATCAAGGTAAATCATGCAGGGTTAACCTACATAAATTACAACCTTTCTTTTTGTACGTTTATTTTTTTTAATTAAGAAAGACCAGAATTGTGCTACACTGACAAATATAAGCTGGTTGACTTAATTCGTGATTGCTGATATTAAAATAGATAGGAAAACAACATACAATAATAATAATAATAATAATAATAATAATAATAATAATAATAATAAAAATAAGAACACTAACAATAATAATAAAAATGATACCTATGCTAATGGTACTTAGATGAAAATAATAATAATAATAATAATAATAATAATAATAATAATAATAATAATAATAAATATATCCATACGCCTTGAGACAACGTAGCTAATGCATTTTCTCCCTCCTGTCTCCCTAGAGCCAAGTAAATGTAATATCTCCAAAAACGCTTCTCAGTGAGATATGATGAGAGATAAGGAAGAAGCTCCTGGTCCCTAATCAAGGTCTCTGTTGCAACTATCACTGAGTGAAGGGTCATGTAGGCTGTTCTCAGGTATACACAAATACAGTTACATAGATTATCATACATAGCAGTATATGTGTAGAGAACCTAGGATAACCCAAAAAAGTTAGACAAAGTGACTTATTTCCATTGGGTACTACCCATTTTGATATCCGGATTCAGTATGTTGTTGTTTAGGTTTTTAAACGCCGAGTCGAATATTCAGATTCCACGTGTTAATATACGTTACTGAGAACCGGGTGAAATATCCAGAATGGAATATAGTTAACGTGCTACAGAGTAGTCCGACATCCGATTCTTGCATCTGGATTCCGAAATTTGTTGTTTACGTTCTTTACCGCCGAATCGGATACCCAGATTCGGTAATTCTACGTTTTTGGCCAGCGATTCTAACATCCAGATTCTGTATGTTGTTGATTCCAATATCTGGCTTCAGTATGTACTTGTTCAAATTAAGAATTAATTGTTTTAAGCCGTTCCCATGAATTTCTGAACGTTCCTAACTTCCTTGTAAACTTACAAATATCATTTTATTTTCCAATGGTTAGGACAAATTACGTAAACCCATAATAAACGTATATTTAACTACAAATAAGCACACTGAAAACAAGGACTACGGCAGGTCTGGTAACTCGCTGGTTGAGCCCTGACAGGAAACGTCCGGAAGTGCACACACATCATTAGTAGTGAAAGAATGAGTTGCACAGGAGATACAGATGAAGTGATTATAAGTAAGTAATCACCAGATAGTGAAGACACACCACCCACGAGGGACAAGACGGGGGGGGGGAATGATAGTGAAGATGTGTCAGTTCTCACAACACCCAGGTTACATACGCACATCCTCCCGACAACCAGGTACACATAAATACCATACGTGCACACCAGCTTGAATACATATGTGCATGTTCGTGATTTACGGTATGTGAGACGCGGTAAGGAAAAAAACATGATTTGATAATTAGAAAGGGTTAAGGTAGCAGCTGCTGCTGTCCCACCTGGAGATGACTTCTCTTGCCCCTGCATGGTAAAGTTACGCACCACTTGCTCCACCATCTCACGGATATACACACATTATATTCATGGAGGGGTGATGATGATACAGTGCCTGGTGTCACGGGTATACACCAGCACCGCCGTAGCCTCATCCATCATCTACGCATGACAACAACCACGACAAACATCCTACATCCAGGAAACATTAACAACAGCTGTGTTGCTACTCCTTAGAAGTAAGGACCTTCAACACTCCTAACACCTACTGCCCCTCTTACGTAATCTTTTGACTACCGCCCACAGGATGGGTATGGGGAAATAAAATTAACTAACTAACCCCCTTACCTAGCAATAGATACCTAGGAGTTATTCGGCTGTAATGAGTCACATTCTCAGAGAATACTGAAAGACCGCCAAGGGAAATAACCCACACTGCTTGACTTTCTTGGGTTATTAATTAACTCGCAGATTCATAGTGTCAGCACTACTGAATGAGTATTAACTCCAGGACCCTTGTCAGGTGCCTTTCCAGGACGAATAAACCAGTAACTCGCTATATCTTTCCAATTATCATCGTTATTAGTATTATTACTGGTATCACCGTTATTAACTTCATTGATAATTATGCTTAAATTAATAAAATTATTAACTACGAATTTTTTCAGAGAAGAATGCAGCTAAATAGCGTGATGATAACGCTGGCCGCGGTGTGTGTGTCTGACACAGCAGCTAGAAGCTTCCAATATCACCACAATACCAGTACACAGCCTAGCAGTACTGCAGTGCATAACACTGACTCGCAGCGGGTCAGTGTACAGAGTGTGAGGCAGGAAGTAATTCTAGTTCAAAGTAGTGTAGACAATGTTGAGGCTAACAACATTAGTTTTAAAGGGGGTGTCAAATTTGTCGTGAGTGGCCATAATACAAGTGATACAGTTAGTGGTCCTAATATTAGTGTAGAGGACACACAGTCAGTAGTGAGTGAACACATTTCGAGTGTTAAAGTGAGTAATTCTGATATAAGTGAAGAAGTAAGTGGTAACAACGTAAGTGGAGAAGTAAGTGATAAAATAAGTGGAGATGTAAGTGACTACAATACAAGTGAAATCACAAAATCAACAATAAATCCTCGAAATGCATTTCATGGAAACAAAAAATCAACAACGATTTACCAAAAAGCAATGATGAACACTCAGCGAAAAGGAAAGTGTGTTTCATTCATCAGCAACACGAGTACAGTACACGAAGCAAATGTGACGTGGGCAGTGACGACAGTCTCTCCCTCAACTTCTGCACCTTTGGGTAAGGGGACTCGGGACAGCTGTGTCTTCTCATCCATATTGTCTTTATCAATACACCCTCTACCTTCAGAAACAGGAACGATACCCTTGTTTTAATTAATGAGATTGTTTTCACTAGTTAGTATGTCTTATATACTGTCAAATGTTAATTGTAAAAAGTCAGCTTCACCTTTATAGAAAAGATTATTCTTCCCTGGCAGTGAGGTTCTTCTGGTCGTGGGAGGCTATCATGCTGGTGAGCTTGCCAGGGATGTGGCTGGTGCTGCTGGCGGTGTTGTACTTCCTGACTCACTCTCCTGTAGGCAAGAAGCTGCTGAGGAGGTTTGCACCACCGCCAGACGAACCCAAACTACGGTGAGCGAGGACACGGGATCGGCTACATCGACGGAAGTCCCGGGATGAGGAGGAGCCTGACGGACGCTGAAGTAGCTGCGGCAGCGCAGGACGAGGGAGAGCAAGCTGCAGTAAATGAAGAAACACTCGCAGCAGGAGGGGTAAAGAATCGTGTAGAAAAACGTATACGTATTAAATACGCAGGAGAGGAGACTGCAGAACAGGCAGAAGTGTGGACAAAAGAGAGTGTTAGTAATACTAATACTATTAGTAATAATAATAATAGCAATAATAATAATACTGAAGACACAGCAGCTGAGAAAAAGTTCTTACGAGGTTCTCCGTCCTTGCTTCTGGAGGAACAAGATGCCTCTGAGAACCAGAGCCAGAGGGTTCGAAAACTGTCTCTGATCCAAGAGGAAGTTACTCACTGACATTACAGTACTAGGTCACTGAGAGATGTGTATTGTTTTGTTTTCACGCCTCGAGTGGGGGATATGTGGGATTTATCTTGCTCTCCATCATCGAATGGGAGACACTAGGATCCAGTTCTCTGAAACGGATATCCTGTCTCTCTCTGACATGGGGATCCTGTCTCTTAAGTTATCTGTCCTTAAGTGTGGTATATGTGCAGCATCTATCAAGTAAGGGACAGTTGACTTAAGCTGGTAGAGACAAATTATTTGGGTTATTTCAACCTGTGTCGATCGCTAGTTACTTCATCTCAACCAGGTCATCTCATCCCAGGTCGCCTCAAGAAGGTTTATCTCACTCTTCATCCAGTAGGTACCTAATTCACTTTGAAACGATCAGTCAGTTTTCTCATGGGCCGTCCTCTATAATACGCCCCACTCCTAAATATTATATCCCAAATCTATAATAAGGTACTTAGTTTTTAATAGAACAAATTATTTATTTATTTATAGTTACCTTCTAAGTTCATTTATTATTTTTCTTTCTCTAGAAAGGATTTTTTTTTTTTTTTACTATTTCGTGTACACATTCAGTGACTCATTTCATGCGTTCAGATATATAATTTCTTTTCCCGCTCACATTCATCTTTCTAATCTAATTATTTTATAAGGCAAGTGTTAAACACGGAGATTATACACGTCTGGGGGGGATATTGATGGATTTATGCTTAATTCTGGGAAGTGTAGCATTCAATTCCTAAATCAGATCCCCTCACAACTCATTGGATTCTTTTGAAGGTTTCTTTGCTAACATTTCTTTGTAGTGGCTGCTTTTATTTCCTTGGATTAAAGAATAGCTCAGTGAATTAACTGTTTCATTCCAGTGTTCTTCACTGTCAACGAAAAGTCTGCTTCTTCTTCATTATTTCTTCCAGCTTTATCTTTCACTTTCTGAAGTGTATTTCCGTCAGATGAACTTACCTGAAGTGACCATTCGTCAGCTATTTAGTTTCTTGCCAAGACCACTTGTGCATGACTGGTATAAAATACCAACCAGATCAAAAATTAGATACACAAGAATTAGGCACATCCAGATGTGCAACATCTGGTTGGTGAAACGTCTACAAATAAAGTTACCCAGATGTTGCACTACTGGATGGCGAAACGTCTACAAATAATTATTATTATTATACTCAAGGGGAAAGTCTATAAAGAAAGTTACCCAGATATTGCATATGTGTCTAATTCCTCAAGACTACTTGACTGTGCACTAAATACCAGACCAAGAACTGCCTGACAAAGACTATTCAAACCTCTGCTGGGGAGTGAAAAAAAAAAAAAAGAATGGAGGAATTATTATTATTATTATTATTGTTATTATTATTAATCATCCTTGAAGGGCTCTTGAGCCAGGGAACTGGAGCTACCTTGCATTTCCTTGGATCAAACCTAATTGTCTCCCATTCCTCATTTCCCACGCACTGTATGAACCCTATGGGGTCAGAAGTGTGAGCCAAGTACATCAATACCTGAAGTGTGACCAAGGTTGGGCACCCAAGTATACACGGTATATACCCAGAGGGGTGTATTTTTCTCACTATACATATGCTGAGAGATTAATTTAATCTTTATTTAAGGTATTAAAGTATTCTAGACTGGTGGTGAACAGGTGACATGTGGCCTTAATGACCCTGGCGTAATCAATAGGTTTCAAACCTCATTAATCAAGCAGCCTCACCACGTCGAGTCTGAGGATGGTGGTGCACCGCAACACATGGTATTTCTAAATTTTACTTGTGTTTCGTGTACAGGGTGTGCGTTATTGCATATATTAATTAAAAATATACATTCCATTACATTTTGCTTTTTCTTTGTTCCTTGGTGAGAGGAAAGTTGAAGAACGTGTCAGTGGTGTGTGGAGTGTTGTACTCCACTGTGATGGAATGTGTTGTACTCCATTGTGATGGAGTGTGTTGTACTCCATTGTGATGGAATGTGTTGTACTCCATTGTGATGGAATGTGTTGTACTCCATTGTGATGGAATGTGTTGTACTCCATTGTGATGGAATGTGTTGTACTCCATTGTGATGGAGTGTGTTGTACTCCATTGTGATGGAATGTGTTGTACTCCATTGTGATGGAATGTGTTGTACTCCATTGTGATGGAGTGTGTTGTACTCCATTGTGATGGAGTGTGTTGTACTCCATTGTGATGGAATGTGTTGTACTCCATTGTGATGGAATGTGTTGTATTCCACTGTGATGGAATGTGTTGTACTCCATTGTGATGGAATGTGTTGTACTCCATTGTGATGGAATGTGTTGTACTCCATTGTGATGGAGTGTGTTGTACTCCATTGTGATGGAATGTGTTGTACTCCATTGTGATGGAATGTGTTGTACTCCATTGTGATGGAATGTGTTGTACTCCATTGTGATGGAATGTGTTGTACTCCATTGTGATGGAGTGTGTTGTACTCCATTGTGATGGAATGTGTTGTACTCCATTGTGATGGAGTGTGTTGTACTCCATTGTGATGGAATGTGTTGTACTCCATTGTGATGGAATGTGTTGTACTCCATTGTGATGGAATGTGTTGTACTCCATTGTGATGGAATGTGTTGTACTCCATTGTGATGGAGTGTGTTGTACTCCATTGTGATGGAATGTGTTGTACTCCATTGTGATGGAGTGTGTTGTACTCCATTGTGATGGAATGTGTTGTACTCCATTGTGATGGAATGTGTTGTACTCCATTGTGATGGAATGTGTTGTACTCCATTGTGATGGAATGTGTTGTACTCCACTGTGATGGAGTGTGTTGTACTCCATTGTGATGGAGTGTGTTGTGCTCCATTGTGATGGAGTGTGTTGTACTCCATTGTGATGGAATGTGTTGTACTCCACTGTGATGGAGTGTGTTGTACTCCATTGTGATGGAGTGTGTTGTACTCCATTGTGATGGAGTGTGTTGTACTCCATTGTGATGGAGTGTGTTGTGCTCCATTGTGATGGAGTGTGTTGTACTCCATTGTGATGGAGTGTGTTGTACTCCATTGTGATGGAGTGTGTTGTGCTCCATTGTGATGGAGTGTGTTGTACTCCATTGTGATGGAATGTGTTGTACTCCACTGTGATGGAGTGTGTTGTACTCCATTGTGATGGAGTGTGTTGTACTCCATTGTGATGGAGTGTGTTGTACTCCATTGTGATGGAGTGTGTTGTACTCCATTGTGATGGAGTGTGTTGTACTCCATTGTGACGGAGTTGCTCTTCACTGTGATGGAGAGTTGTTGCACGCCACTGTGATGGAGAGTTGTTGCACGCCACTGTGATGGAGAGTTGTTGCTCGCCACTGTGATGGAGAGTTGTTGCTCGCCACTGTGATGGAGAGTTGTTGCTCGCCACTGTGATGGAGAGTTGTTGCACGCCACTGTGATGGAGAGTTGTTGCTCGCCACTGTGATGGAGAGTTGTTGCACGCCACTGTGATGGAGAGTTGTTGCTCGCCACTGTGATGGAGAGTTGTTGCACGCCACTGTGATGGAGAGTTGTTGCTCGCCACTGTGATGGAGAGTTGTTGCACGCCACTGTGATGGAGAGTTGTTGCTCGCCACTGTGATGGAGAGTTGTTGCACGCCACTGTGATGGAGAGTTGTTGCTCGCCACTGTGATGGAGAGTTGTTGCACGCCACTGTGATGGAGAGTTGTTGCTCGCCACTGTGATGGAGAGTTGTTGCACGCCACTGTGATGGAGAGTTGTTGCACGCCACTGTGATGGAGAGTTGTTGCTCGCCACTGTGATGGAGAGTTGTTGCACGCCACTGTGATGGAGAGTTGTTGCACGCCACTGTGATGGAGTGCTGCACTCCACATCACTGTTATGATCATGCCCTGGGCATCTGTTAACACTTTTATTATTATTATTTAGCAAAATCCGGTGTATCAGCAGTGTGGTGCTACCTTATTCTATGATAGTTACACAGTGGGAACATAAAGTATGTTACCCCTGTCATATCCCATCAGGTGGGATGGGGCTTATGTGAGGTGTTGAAATGTGTCAGCCTGAGCTGGGAGACTTCAGTAACGCGACGAGGATGTATTCTTAAGTAGTCTCTTACAGGTTCATCAGCTATGGCAGATTCAAAGGTTTCCTTGCAGCCGAGCTGGAGTTAGTATACCTGGAGAGGGTTTCGCCGTCAATGCCCCCTCGGCTTGGTCTGAGACCAGGCCTCGTGGTGGATCAGGGTGTGATCAACTAGGCTGTTGCTGCTGGCCGCACGCAAAGCGACGTAAGAGCCACAGCCCGGCTGGTCAGGTACTGACTTTAGGTGCCTGTCCAGAGCCTTCTTAAAGACAGCCAGGGGTCTATTGGTAATCCCCCTTATGTATGCTGGAAGGAAGTTGAACAGTCTTGGGTCCCTGACACTTATAGTGTTGTCTCTCAGGATGATCTATTTCAGCCACAGGAGAAATTATTTTTTATGCGGATATTACATTATCAACATGAACAAAATAAAACCGGAGGGGGGAGGGGGTGGAGGTAGCGGGGAATGTT